TGGTGCTGCTCATTGGTACTGGGACCTTGTGTTTTCTTTCTCTTTGGAAATGTTGGAGTCATGTTTTGTTGTATTCTCTGAGAACAAGGAAGAAAGCAGATATGACTTCAGGAAACCTCAGTAATCTTTCTGTTGTTGTTCTTGTTCTTGTTGCTCTTGTCGTTATTGTTGTTGTGAAGTTGCAACAGGGTGGAGGCAGACCACTGCATGGAAATTATTGCACAGTGTAAAATAAGAACATATTACATGTATTACATGTACATGCAGTATGTAATAAGGATTCTAGATATATGCAGCCATTTTAGCACATCTCCTTGACTAAGGAGAAGTCTTTCTTTCTGCAGACCTTCTCCCTGGTCTCCTGGATCAGGATCTCCTGAGGACAGTGAAGATTGAAGCAAAGAAGGTGTTCCCTATCTGAGCTTCCTCTGCAACCTCTGTTGCAAGGTTCCTTTTTCCATTCAGTAGTGGACCCACATTTTCCCTACTGTTCCTTTTGTTATTAATGTAATAATGTTTTCCCAGAGGCACTTCCACCATTGCTGACGGGCTTGGCCTTGGCCAGTGGCAGGCCCATCTTGGAGCTGGCTGTCCTTGGCTCAGCCAGACATAGGAGAAGCTTCTAGCCACTTCTCACAGAAGCCACCCCTGTAGCCCCCCCCACTATCAAAACCTTGCCATGAAAACTCAATACACTGTGCCAGCTGAAATCTGTGTCTTCTAACAGTAGATGGCATCCAGCCCCTTAGTAGCAGACAGGTCCCAGATAAGCAACCCATGACTTCATCATGGAGACATACGTGGATTTTCCCAGAGTAAGGAGCAGATCAGTTTCCAAGTTAGAAGTAAAGTCGGGGTCATCTGACACATATTGCACTGCCCTGTCCACCGGCCTGTTCCACTGGTTAGGTTGCTTGCTGGTGTGCCCATAAAAATTGCATCAGTCTGAAGTGCAGGATTCTTTCTACTTTTTGCCATTAGGAAACAAGAATCTTTTTTAGTTCATAATATGCTCAATTACCTTTAGATTGATCCATGAATAAATTATAATCAAAACAGACTTACTCACCTTAAAGCTCTCTGGCTTAAGGTTTCATTGTTGATTCATTAAGTTGTCAGTTCTCTATTGGCAGGGTAATGCTTTTTTATGTCTGAATAGAGACAGTTTTAGTGGAAGATACTGTTATCTTTATATGAGCAGGATTTAGCTTTTTTGGTAAGAACAAATTCATCAATGATGAATCCCTGGAGAAACTACTGAAACAAAAATCACAATGTTGCTGAAGATTTATGCAGTTCATCAGTTAAAAGGCAGCTTTTGGAAGTGAAGGGCAAGGGAGGATTTGGATTTTTGCTTTCTTTCTGTAAAATACTCCAGCAAGATATGTCAAGCTTCCAGTTTTGTGATAATGCAATTATAAACAATGAAATAATTCCACTTAATGTATTTATTTTGGCTCCATTCTTGATGTTATCCCTCCAGTAGAAACACATTAAATTATGTCTATATAGAGACAGATGGATACAAATAATGCAGCTATAGACATCACTGATACAGATATATAAGTAGATGAGAATTATCTAATTACTCTGCTTGTTGCAATCTTCTAAGGACTTGCTATGCTCCACATATTCATATTAGTTGTGGTTTTTTTCTAGGCAGATGTTGATATAACAAAGATATCATGTATGGAGAGTTTAGTGACATTGGATTATCTGGAAATTAAAAAAAAAAAAAAGTACTATATAAAGATTTCAAAAGCAAACAGAGTTAAACACACGAAGCTCTGTGCTTGTGCTTTCATTGGGAATTTTGTTATTAAATCCCCTATGTGCTTAGGAAGATATCCTCTACTATGATTAGAGGCGATTTAATTTTAAAATCTCTTAAATATCCATTTCTTCCACAGTTATTTCAATGTCTCCACTTTTTCTGTATCCAGTAACACATTTCATTAAAATATCGTTTGCCATTTCATGTGGCCTTTGACTGCAAGATGTTTGAAACCACAGCTCCGAACAATAAGCACTCTCCTCTGCATTCCCTGTGTCTGTGCATTACTCATAAGGGGAACCATCAATAAGTCCTTCCTAAGCTCCTGAGGCTACATTTTCATGTATTATTTATTGCTGTAGAAAAGATTGTTGGTTTTCAGTGCTGTTTGATGAAATTTGGCTTGGCTGCTTGTGAACTACTAGACCCCAAATAACCAGGCCATTTGTATGGGCACACAGTGTGTGAAGTCAGTGGAAGCTCATTGTGTGTGCCCCAGCCTGGACCAAGACCTACATGTTTCCTTAATTATTTTAAATTCCATTTGACCAAATTCTTGACAGAAAAACAGCAGTGCACAGCAAATATGAAAGTTGGACAATAGTTTTCTAGATGAATCATATTTTCTTTTTAAAAAAAAAATACAGATTATACAGTTTAATTTAGCTGAACACGTAATTACAAATCATCTGAATTATGGAACTGGTGGCATTGCACACTCTTCAAAATGTCTGCTGTACATTCCAGATAGCAGATATGTTAGAGGTAAAAATCTACTTCAACTTACAACTTTGAAAATTAATTAACCTTTGTAATTTGCTCTTCACCTATACACAAAAATAAATTCTTCTTCCACACTCTTCCTTAGATCATCTATTTCACTTCAGTATACCCAGTGTTTCTGTCAGTAGAAATTAGAAGATTGGGCATATATTAAGAGAACAGAAAAGTAAAGGATTTATTAAGAAAAGATTTGGCTGTTCTTCCTGAAGATGATCTTCAATCAGTCAAGCCATGAACAACTGTCTCGTCTCTCTACTACTTCAGTTAAAACATCAGCAAAATTAGCTTTGCTACTTACTCTCAAAGTCAGCAATTCAATTCCTGGCCAGACAGGAAAGAATCCAAAAACGCTTTGTCATCAGGTCTCCTGCTCTCTCAAGCCAAAGTTGTTGGCATCAGCACATAAATTATGGAGAGGAAATAGTTTCTCAGTGACACAACTACTACTTATTTGTAGCCAAAAATGTATTTCTAATTGATTCGGCCTAGTAGACATACCAGAACACTTTTTAGCAAAATTTGTGGGTTTTTGATTTTTGCTAAAAGTTTTAGGCTTTCTAAAAGTCTTGTAAAGAATTGAGTTTACATGTTTGTGCTTTAGAGCCTATTGATTAGAATGAAATTAAACAAATTCTTCCTTCTGCTCATTTTGTCTTATAAAATAATTCTGGTTTTGCTGTCTTATTTGACTTTAGGATGTAAGACCGTTTCCTTATGGCTGTTTGCAGTAGATCATAAAACCTTATTTTAAGACATCCAAGAACATTTCTTGTATGGCAACTGCACAGAAAGGAAAGTTTGTTTGATGTCTGTAAGGAAACCCTTGAACATGGCATGCAGGAACCAAGTTCCCATTGAACAGACACAGAAAGAGCCCCCTGAAGGTGGGGAAACTTGGGCTACACCTACATTTAGGACAGATGGGGTCTGCAGTATCCCCCACGGTTCTGGCCTTGCATTCGCCCAGATTGAGGCTTTGTCTCATAGTTCAGTCCCAGCCTGCAGGAGGGCACCTCCTCTGGAGAGCTCCAGGAGACTGCAAGGCTCCTGCTGACTTGCTGTTAAAAATGTGTTGAGGCCACAAACCAACTCTTGGAAGCAGGGAAGCATTTCAAGGACCTCACCCTCTGGCTCTATGCTCAGAGTGCCAAAAACTGAACAGCCAAGAAAGCTTTTGTTTGTCATAGCAAGAAGCCTGAGGTCCCAGGGTTGGGTGCTGTGGATGACGGAGCTCATTGAGGAATTTTTCTCCTAGGGATTAGCAGAAGAGCAGGGTAACCTCTTCTGGATTTACTTCATTTTAAAAAATAATAATTTGTAAATTTTTAAATAATTTGGGGTTTAAAATTCACATTGAAATTCCCTCTTAAAAAATTGATGACCACGGCAGTACTGTATCTTGTTCGATATGCTCTTTGAGGTTGTATTATTAGCGTGAATTAATGCTAGCAGCTGCTGAGGCTATGTATCCCCTGTTACTACCTGCTGGTTTCTGCAGTACTGCTGTAGCTTCTGAACAGGGTTTAGTTAGGTGGATAAAATACTTCTGCAGAATAAGAAACTAGTTTCAAGGGAGGAAGGGCATGATCTATTGCATAAAGCAAAAATCCATGTTTTTACCATTCTTTGCTCACTGAACTCTGTGACTGTGGCACACTACAGTTGTCCATATCTCTGCTAGGTAAGCAACGGGACTATTTCTGTCGGGAAGCGGAGTGTTTTATGAATCCTTAACCAGCTCTTTCATGTTCTTGGGTGAGACATGAGTTTTGCAATTCAGTGAAATCTTCCTCTAGAGTTTGCTTAATTGGGTTCAAGGATTAAATGTTGCAGAAAAGATTGCAAGTGGGACATAGAGGTAAATTAGGAGATTATAATGCGTTTCAGTTCATTTGGTGTTTGTTAGCCTTACTTTGACAGGTCAAGACAGCCTTCTATTATCAGACTGCAAAATACATGTTTATAAGCTTTTAAAAATATGTATTGATATATTCAGATATCAATACAAATAATCTTAAATACTGGTGGAACCCTTCTAAGTAAACTGATAATTTTCTGATACCTTACCACATAGTATAAAATAAAATAGAAATAAAGTTACACATTTGAATTATTTAATATGATACATTTTTATATACAAGCAAGTATGCAATGGGGATATAATAGATTGTGGGATGCTGACCTGCAATTCAGCTATTTTTCTGCTGTGGGATATTAATATTTTAATATTCAGTATATATTTTCAAGTCAAATCCCAATGTTCATATTTGATTTTTTATTCACTTCTCACTCCAATGTAGTCTTGCTGTTTTCAATTTCAACTTCCTGAATAAGAAGCAAGTCACGGTCCGCATGGACTTAGGGTTTCACCCGTGGGATCAGACTCACCTTTTTACTACCCCCGCTCACTAAGCATAATCATGTTTACTGATTTTTGTTTCAGAAACTACCCAGTTTTGGGCCTTACCTGGAACAACGCAAAAAAATAATAGCTGAGAACAAGATTAAACTGAAGACACAGAACATGGCTGCCGTGCTTCCCGAGAAAAAGCATTTCATTCCGAAGAAGCCCATTCCAGCAATCAAGGTAACAAAAACGTATGCTTATGCATAAGAAATGATCGGCCATCAGGCAGTTGACATGCACAGTCATTTCTGGCAGCTTGAGTTGGTTATTACTGCTTTTAAGCTAGTTAGAGGGCATCAAAGACAACTCTTTATGCAGACTTTCTAGCTTTTAACCAAAATCAATGAGAAATGATTTGTATAGGTATTTCTCTAATGTCATTTTTCAAAATGAAGATATTCAGGCAATGGAACAGTAATTGCAGAACAAGCAGGGTAATGCCTTGAAGAACAAAGCAGAATTGTTTACAATTTCTTTCAGTTTGAATGCTACAGTATGAGCTGTTTTGCATGATACCTTTTGATTACTTGCAATGTGCTAAATGCCTCCATCCCTCATGTAGGATCAATGAAAAAGGTTGGTGTTCAGTACATATAAAAGCTGTGTCATAGGTTTTCAGATTGAACTTTTAAAGCTGGAGAATGTTTGTCTAAGTAGCTTATCCACCGTCTACAATGAGTAAATGTCAAGGCAAAAATAAAACCTGTGACCCCTATCTACTCCATAATATATACATTGAAGCTTTTCTCTTCCCTTAGGTAGCCAATAAATATCAATAAAATGAAACGGCATAAGCTAATTATTCTAGGTGTTCACTTCAGAGCTGACTTCAACTTCAAGTCTGAATAGGAAAATAAGTGAGCAATTTATTATTTTTCTTTTTAAATCAGGATTCTCATGTAGGCCCTTTTATAAAGCAATGTGAAAATTATGTCTGTTAATTTGTTGACTGTTTTGCTCATATATGGGAGAATATCAGATATCTACGGTAGGTAACTTTCCCTGTATGAACACACCTGTAAGAATTCTTGCAAAAATAAGGTGAAACATGGTGAATACAATATGAACAGTGCTCAAAATAACACATAATTCCCAAGAGAATTTTGCAATTTACCAGTATATCCAGTATTCCAAACTAACTGGTAGAATGGCAAAACCAGCCAAGGAGAAATTTTGAATCATCTTCCTGTTTAAATTAAATAGTTTGCCACATCTATAGACCTCTCTCAGATTTCTGGACTGCTTATTTTGGTTTATGTCATGCTTTTGAAAATCACTCCTCTCCTCTTGTGCTGAGGTTCCCTTCTATATGTATACAAAAAGTTCCAAAGAACAGCAATCTACTCTTTTTTTCCCCCCACTATGATGAGCATTTTCAAAGCCTGCTTGACCTCCGAGGTTTCATGATTCTGTTCTCTTTGCAGGGAGAGAGTATTGATGTAGGGAAAAAGAAAAAGAAGAAGCAAGAGCCAATAACTGCATTTTCAATGAGATAGCTTGCTTCTGAAAACAGCAGAAAACCAGAAAACTGATACCATCCAAAAGCAAATAAACCGAATGAAGGAAAAAGTTTAGCAAGAGGGAAAAACAGACATAAAGACTTGAAAAAACATAAATAAAAAAGTTGAGGTCAATAATTTATCAAGCCTAACTCCAAGTACAAAAGCAAAAAAGATCCAAGTGGTAGGAGATAGATTAAAAAAAAGAAAAGAGGCCCTACAGCAGGGAAGAGGAAAATGAATTCCCCCAAATACAAACTTTTGTTTATAAGATATTGAATACTTTTGAGTGGTGTCTGAGGAGCTTCTCAGTCAGTGAAATCAGGTTAGCCTCTTTTTCACACCTTTGGTTAAATGAAACTGAAGCAATTAGAAGAAGATAGGCGTCGCCAAAGCTGATTTGTGACAGTCTTTCAGTATGAACATCTCTTTTATATTTTAACCATAATGAGAAAAACAACAGCAAGAGAGGTTGTATTGTGTTTGCATGGCAAGGTTTTGGTGTAGTGGTGGGGTACAGGGGTGGTTTCTCTGAGAAGCTGCTGGGAGCTTCCCCAGTGTCCGACAAAGTCAAGGGCAGCTGGCTTCAAGACGGACCCACCACTGGCCAAACCCAAGCCCATCAGCAATGGTGTAGTGCCTCTGGGATAACATATTTTAAAAGGGGGGAAAAACAGCAACTTCAGTTGAAGAGAGGAGTGAGAATATGGCCTTTTCAGGGATCTGCTTGGCAGAGAACCATGAAATAAAGCCCTGGAGGAAAGAGAGGTAATATTCAAGGATCACCTCTCCCAAGCTCAGGAGTGATGCATCCCAACAAAGAGGAAGTCAGGGAAAAATGCCATGAGGCCCTGGACAAACTCAGACACAAAAAGGAAGCCTTCAGAGGGTCACCAAGATGACCAGAGAGCTGGAGCACCTCTCTTATGCAGACAGGCTGAGAGCTGGAGCTGTTCATCCTGGAAAAGAAAAGGCTCTGGGGAGACAGAGACCCTTCCAGTACCTAAAGTGGCTGCAAGAGAACTGGAGAGAAACTTTTTACAAGGGCATGTGGTGACAGGACAAGGGGGAATGGCTTTAAACTGAAAGAAGACAGGCTTAGATTGGATATTAGGAAGAAATTCTTCACTATGAGGGTGGTGAGGCACTGGAACAGCTTTCCCAGAGAAGTTGTGGATGCCCCATCCCGGGAGTGTTCAAGACCAACATGACCTGCTAGAAGGTGTCCTTGCCCGTGGCAGGGGATTTGGAACTGGATGACCTTTGAGGTCCCTTTCAACACAAACCATTCTGTGATTCTAGGTGATAGGAACATCTCTGTAGACACCAAGGTCAGTGAAGAAGGAGGGGGAGGAGGTGCTCCAGGTGACACAGCAGAGATTCCCCTACAGCCTGTGGTGCAGGCTGTGGTAAAGCAGGCTGCCCACCTGCAGCCCATGGAGGTCCAGAGTGGAGCAGATATCCTCCTGCAGCCTAGGGGGGACCCCATGCCAGAAAGAAGGCCGTAACCTCATGGGAAGCCTGCACTGGGGCAGGCTCCTGGTAGGACTTGTGACCCCATGGAGAGAGGAGCCCACAATGGAGCAGTTTTGCTGGCATAACTTGTGGCCCTGTGGAAGGGACCCATGCTGGAACAGTCTGTTCCTGAAAGACTGCACTCTGTGGGAGAGACTCACACTGGAGCAGTTCATGAAGAACTGCAGCCTGTGGGACGGACTCGGGAGGGACCCCACTCTGGAGCAGGGAAAGAATGTGAAGAGTCCTGCCTGTGAGGAGGAAGGAAAGGCAGAGACAATGTGAAGCCAACTGCAACACCTTCTAACCCTAACCCATCCCCCTGTACCACCAAGTGGGGAGGAGGTAGAGAATTTAGGAGTAAAGTTGAGCCCAGGAAGAAGGAAGTGGTGGGGGGAAGGTGTTTCATGATTTGGTTTTATATGTCATATATACTCTGATATGATTGGCAATAAATTAAACTAATTTCCCCAAGTCCAGTCTCTTTTGCCTGACACAATAACTGGTGAGTGATCTCTCCCTGTCCTTGTCTCGGCCCGTGAGACTTTCAGTATATATTTTGTCCCCTGTCCTGCTGAGGAGGGGAGTGATAGAGCAGCTTTGGTGGATACCTGGTGTCCAGATGGGGTCAGTTCACCACAAATGCCCACTAAGAAATAGGAAAATACCTGGGTTTTGGTTAAAGTAGGGAATTTGCCACTACAAATGGAGGTTTTAATAAAGTTGATTATTAATAGATCCATCTATTATTATATAGTGGTGAAAATCTGCCAGGAGGATTCAGAATATTCATTAATGAAGCTGAGTGAAGCTTAATGAAAAAAGGTGACTTATCTGATACCCTTGCCTGATCAGGAATTCTCCATGGAGAGAGGCAAAGGAACTTGGACTTGAGTGATTTATTTGTAACTGTCCAAGAAATGTTCACATTTAGAATTACAAATCCCAGACCATCTTCAAGTAGTTCTGTCTTGGCTGACCCTCTAGACAGAAAGAATAACATATTCACTAACTGAATATGTTAGTTCAGACTAGGATATTGGGAGTAGTAAAGGTCAGTACCTGGTTCTCACAGGTAGTCCCAGCTTAACTCTCGCTCTCTGGAGCAGTGAAGTGGCATGCTTGAAAGCTGATGGGACCTGAGAGATAGGTGCCCTTGAAAGAGCTATGACCCCTGCAGTGGCTGCTTGTATTTTTGGAGGGTTGCTGCAAATTTCCTGATGCCCCCCCCCAAGTTTCCTAATCTGCCTAATCAGCTGTTGGGTTGGTGATATGTAAATTCCAACATTTTTGTAAATACCACATGCTGTCAAATTGTCTTTTTTTTTAATCAATTTAAAAACCCTCTGCAATTATCCAAAATCTAACTTATTTTTTGGATCTCTTTTCCCATGGCTGTTCTCTTTATCTTCTCTATTTTTCAATATTATTTGAAACTGCGTACTTTGATGTTCAGCAGAGTTGTTTATTCTTTTCTCACTTGTCTGTAATATCGGTATTTCTGCCATATGTGGATATGTACCTTGGATATTTTCTTTTCAGTTGCAGTTTTGTACAGCTCCTACAGATGTATTTGCCTATTTCAGGTTACCTCCTTATTACTTTAATTTCTTTCCTTATATGTTTTTGTGTTTTCTTCCTAATAATTTAGTTCTTTTGCCTTAAGGGCCTATACCACAATATTCAGTCACCATTTATCTGCTTATTTTATTTCTTCCTTTTTTACTCCACAAGTCTTGCTGTAGAGATTGCCTTGTTTGGTAGTTCAAACATTCTGGCGTAGCTCTATTTGTCAGCTTAGCTAGGGCGTGACATGGTGTTCCACCTGTTGGAAAAATATCCACAGAGATCCTCAAGCTTAAATTCCTTGTGTTTGATCTAGTTCAAGTAAACTGTAGTCTTCAGATATGGGCAGAAATCCTAGAGTCCAAACTTCCTCTTTCCCTCCCCCCTCTTACTGCAGCAGAAGGACTGCCTCAAGTGGCTCTGCAAGAGAATAGAATAGGAATAGAAACAGAATAGAATAGAATAGAATAGAATAGAATAGAATAGAATAGAAAAAATAATTTCAATTGGAAAGGACCAACTGCTTGACCACTTCAGGACTGACCAATAGATAAAGCATGTTATTAAGGGCATTTTCCAAATGCCTCTTGAGCACTAATA